CCCGGCTTCTTATAAAAAATTATGTAGAATTATCCAAAGCAACGTCCTTGATTTTGGAAATCATAGCAAGGCTATTATAACAGCATGTATGTACAAAAAATCTGATATGCTCAGATTATATTCGACCGCAAGGCAATTGCCTACTTTAGCAAAAATACTTCATAAGAACATGAAAATGTTCTTTAAATACTTCCTTTAAATTTTATGGATTTTAGTAAGATTCAGGTTAACCTAATTAAATGTGAATTTGGCTCTTTGTAGAATTTCACTTTATGCTATCCGAATTCATTTAAAAATTTCTCAGTTATTTCCAGTATCAAATAGAACTAAAATACTAAATGTCATCGCTACTGTGGTTTTTGAACCCCGAAGAATAAATCATAAATCTTGAGATCCAGTTCCAAAGACCTGACCATATCTCAAGATTTGATCAAACTGTTTCATCGTTGAAAAAAGCAAAAATATCAATTTTCGTGAAAATCAGTCCAGCCGAACTTGAGATACTAATCTGCACAAAAAGACTAACAGACAGATAGATCGACAAATATCTCTCCAAAAATAGTTCAATTACGCTTCCTAGCGTGGATACAAAGAAAAAACTGAAAATGTCAAAAAAGTTCATGACGTTTTTATAAATTTCCCACCATCTCATTTAATAATAAAAACAGCGTTTGTAACACACGTGCTACGTCAATCTAATTTAACTAATTTTTATAAATTAAAATCTCCTCTCACTAATCTTCTTACTAGGCCTTACAGACCATGAAGGTCCTGAGCCTGACTTATCATTTTTTTCCATCTGCCGCGGTCCTGGGCGGCTCTTCTCCAGCTGGAGACACGAAGTCTTTCCAAATCCGCCGAAGTTTCGTCTCTCCAACGAAGATGCGGCTTACCTCGACGTCTCATTCCTTCGGGTGTGGATTCGAACACTCTCCTTGCTGGGGCGCTTTCGGACATTCGTGCAATGTGCCCCAACCAGTGTGGTCTCTTTATCTTGATTTTGCTGACTATATCAATGTCCTGATACAGCTCGGCATTGAAAAACACCAAGGCATTGCTCATTTGTCCTAGACAGTGTCCAAGCTTCCGAGCCATAAAGTAAGACCGGAAGAACGAGCGTCTTGTACTACTGCAGCTTAGTGTTTCTGGATAGGAGTTTTGAACCCAGTTGTTTTCGCAAACCCGAAGTAGCAGCGATTTGCCAGGGTTATTCTACGTCGCACCTCCACACTGATGTCATTGGCAGAATTTACATTAGTTCCCAGGTAGATGAACTCCTTAACAACCTCAAAATTATATGAGTCAACCGTGATGTTTTGACCAATATGATGGACAGTGGTCGCCTTGGTGGTTGACAGCATATATTTTGTCTTAGTTTCGTTAACATTCAGACCCACTTTTTTGCTTCCTGATCAATCTTTGTAAAAGCTTCGATGACCGCTCGTCGCGAGCGAGCGACTATGTCGATGTAGTCAGCAAAACCCAACAGCTGCACGGATTTAAAGAAGATAGTGCCTTCGGTGTTAATACCCGCGCGACGCACTATTTGTTCCAGCACAAGATTGAAAAAGTCGCATGACAGCGCGTCCCCCTGGCGAAAACCGGAACACGTGCGAAATACTTCCGATGTATTTTTCCCGATTGTCACCGAACATCAAGTATTTTCTAGCGTAATCCGAGATAAGCGAATAATTTTGCTCGGGAACCCAAATTTTGCCATCGCCTCATATAGTGCGGCGCGATGTATGCTGTCATAGGCAGATTTAAAATCGATAAATAGGTGGTGAGTATCGATTTGAAATTCGTGGGTCTTCTCCAGGATTTGACGAAGTGCGAAGATCTGGTCGGTGGTAGATTTTCCAGGTCAAAAACCACATTGATAGTTTTCTATCACGTTGTTACAGAGTGGCTTTAGTCGTTCGCACAATACGTTGGATAGAATCTTGTATCCGATATTTATTAGGGATATTCCACGATAGTTGTTGCAGGACGTGGTCTCACCTTTCTTGTGGATTGGTCTTATGATGCTAACACCCCATTCGTCGGGCATGCTTTCCTCCATCCAAATGCGGTATATGATCTGGTGCATGCTCCTAACCAGTACACCACCCCCAGCTTTGAACAGCTCTGCTGGCAGGCCATCGGAACCAGCCGCCTTATTGTTCTTGAGCTTTTGAATGGCGTTGTTGACTTCTTCGAGGCTAGGTGGAATTACCTCTTCGTTGTTAACAGGAGTGTTTGTTGTGGATGCATCGCTTTCGGTGTTTTCCGAATTCAGCAGTCGCTCGAAATGCTGCTTCCACGCCCGCAATATCCTTTCCTCATCGGTCACCAAATTTCCCGCACCATCGTCCAGAGCACATATGTAGGGCTTGAATCCAGCTGAGAGCTGTTTTGTTTTTCTATAAAAGCTCCTTACTTCCGCTCTGTCTCTATGTTTCTCTATATCCAAGAGCTGAGATCTCGCGTGGTCCCGTTTTTTTCTCCTAAGGACCATCTTTTCTTCTCGTCTCTTTGCCTTATATTCCTCTTGTGCCGCCCTAGTTTTCCGTTGCATCGCTCTTCTGTATGCCTAATTTTTTTCCGCCGTCAACCTCGAACATTCATCATCATACCAAGGGTTCCTTGAAAATGGTGGTTTATAACCCAAGATATCACTGGCCACCCCCTTCATGATGTCTGCGTACTGTTTCCATTGTTCATTAACGAACGTAAAAACATGAGGCGCGGAATTAATTTTCTCGCAAAGACGGTCTCTAAAGGCTCCGGCTAGCTCGGTGGATTGCAAATTTCCAATGTTGAATTTCCGCGTTGTCGCAGTATGCAGTTTTCCAACATTGCATATTCGAGCTCTGAACCTAACTGCAATTAAAAAGTGGTCAGAGTCGATATTTGCCCCACTATACCTACGCACATCCAAAACACTGGAGAAGTGACGAGCGTCGATGAGAATATGGTCAATCTGATTGGTTGTGCGACCATCCGGGGCCAGCCAGATCCCCTTGTGGATATCTCGGTGCGGAAAATACGTGCTACTTATGACCATGTTGCAAGACGCCGCTAGATCGATCAAGCGGAACCCATTGTCGTTGGTGGTGTGGTGAAGACTATGGGTGCCGATAGTTTTTCCAAATATTTGCTCTCGACCAATCTTCGAATTGAAATCCCCCAACAAGATTTTTGCATCATATCGTGGGCAGGCTCCATAAGCTTTGTAGAGAACATCATGGAAATTCTCCTTGGCGAAATCCTCTGCCTCATTGGTTGGGGAATGTGCGCATATTAGGCTGATGTTATAAAATTTGGCCCTGATGCGGATAACGACCAAACGCTCATTGATTGGCTTACCAGATGATGTTACGTCTAAGCCTGTCACCAACTACGAATCCGCATCCCAATATGTGATGTTTTTTGTGACAGCTGTAATAAATATCGCATTTCTTTTTCTTTAAAATTCCAGATCCTATCCAACGTATTTCTTGTATTGCAGTGTAGAGTGTTCTTATATTCCAGGTGCAAATCCGTAAATCATAATTCTTGATACATTTGCCGTGTCTGTTACCATTAGATCCAACCAGCCTATCCGAGGTTTCACTTAAGTCTCCCATAACTGACGAGTTTTACAGGTAAGGTAGTTAACCTTACACCAACCCCAAACCGGGGCCAAAGTTCGCGCTTTCAGTTTCGGCCAGTTCTGCCAGCGGGTGCTGGAAGAAAAGTTGCCAGGTGCCACCACGTGGAGGTAGAGTAAGCACTTGCCCAGGAACCCAAACAGTTACACAACTGGGTCAGCGACCGATCAGTTTCTACCCTGTTGCTCCCAAACCAGACCCCCCCTCTCACTAAAACCCATGTATTATTTATATGGTCACGTGCACCTAAGAGAACATAATAAGTTGATGTGTACCTACTAATACACATACTTAAGTGCGTATACTAATCGATTAATAAACAAATCATAGTATATAATATTGTACAGTAAATAATATTATAATAATTGATATTATATATAAACAGCTTAAATGGCTGATTACAACTGTCTATCAAAAATTTTGAAAAAATTTGTTTTATTATTTATTTTTCTGATTTTATTGACATATAAATTTTTGATACAAATAGAAATGTCCTTCACAAAAAAAAATTACCAATTTATTATTAAAATTATGTCATCAATGGCCCAATTCAATACATGTCAATATTATTCAGTACTTGATTAGCATGGCAGATTCACTCACCTTCATATTGATGGATGTTTATTAATTTGTTAACTTTTTTTTATCGAAGGCGTATATTTATATAAGTAAAATGCTGCTTATGTATGTATCTATTTTTTGGAGAATATAAACATTTTTTTCATTTATTTATTGAAAATTTTTTTAGTAAAGCCCGCTTCAATAGGTTTGATTCTTGAATAGAAACTGGTGGTTCAACTTGACAATCTAAGCTAATTATTGTTTTCTTTATAGACAATTTCTTTTTTTTTGTTAAAAAAAAGTTGCTGATATTAAATCGATATTTACCTTTCCATGCTTAATCAACTAATTTTAATATGTTTCCATAACGGCTAAAGAACTTATTTTCGAAACTCTCGGATACTGTAAGTAAAATCGGAAAAATAATCCTTGTTGCACGTCTGAAGAAAAATTTATTACATATAAAACCCTTAAGTTGTAAAAAAAATTAAAATGTATGTGATCTGCTCTCGAACATGAAATGTGATAAATTTTAAAAATTTAATAATTTTTTTATTGTTCAGTATTCTTAAATGTACAATTACTGACCAATATAAAGTTTCGCAAGTGCAAAAATATCCTCTAAAAAATTCTAGAAAATATTTTTTCGTAGCATATTTCAAGGTGAACGCATATACGAAACGATGAAATTGTTTTCTCTTGATTACGTAAATTTAATTACTCTCTCTTTCCCATTATAAGTGCATATGTATGTATGCATGTAAATACAGAATATTCGGCATAAATAATTCAATTAAATTAATTAATTTATTTTTTTCCCCTTGTATTTATTTTATATTCTCATACAATATACACGTTTACGTATATAATCTTTTTGTTACAATATTAACAGCACTTACAATTTTAATGAAAATTAAATTATTACAATAATTAAATTCAATAAATTCCAATACATATACCATTATTATACTACCATATTAATATATACAGAAAAAAAAACAATCGAAAGGATAATAATTTACTTAAAAATGAAAAGAGAAAACGTGATAAAAGCCGAAGGTCGTATTAAGTTCACTTCGATTTAAATCCCATTTTGAATTTTTTTTCTCTTTTGTTTAGTAACAACAGCAGCAAACAAAAAAAAAATAATATTATTTTTAATCACTTTTCATTCTCATAAATCTGAACGCAAAAATTTTTAAGTGTAAATTTTTTTTTAATTCATATTTTTAATCGCCTGTCATCATCTCCATGAACTCTGAAATAAATTTAAAAAAATAAATAAAAAAAAATTAAATTGCATTATGGAATTCACACACAGGAAATTCTTAAATTGAATTTAAAATAATTCTAGTAACATTTACCATCAAAATCAACAGTTCCAGAACCGTCTGTATCAATTTCGGCGATCATTTCATTTAATTGATCATTATTTAATTGATCATCTAGTGCTGCTAAGATTTCTTTTAAAGATGATGTCGGTATAAAACCATTACCTTCTTTATCATAAAGTCGAAAAGCTTCTTTTAATTCCTGTTGAATTGCTTCATCATCTTCCTCTTGAAAATGATATGCGACACGACAAAATGATTCAAAATTTAATTTTCCGTCACCTAAGATAATAGAACATTAGAAGAAATTTTTATTGCATAAAACTAATAACAGTAACTACGTTTATACAGTTTTGTATTTAATTTTTTCCAAATAAAATATTCCAAATTAAATAATCTCGTTCTGTGATTTACAATATTTGGAACTAACTTTCAAATTCTTTCCAATTTAGTTTTTTATACTATAGTCAGTTAGTCACCCCCATATCAACCAGAATGCGCACCTTTAAGTCTTAAGTCAATAACGACAACGCTTCCCCAACGAAATGTAACCGAAAAATCCGTAAATCTTGCGAAGCCAGCACATTTCTCGCCCTGCCAAAGCAACAATTGTCAACAGAAAACAATAACACTAATAAAAGCGTCTTGTTTCCTACAAAAAACGACAGTCGCGGAGAATATTCCCGGCTGCGATCGGATCAAAGATCCAAAAAACGTTTCGGAAATCTAATGCCGAATATAACGGACCAAAAAAGCCTAGGGTACTGCCCACGCCACTCTCTACCATTCAAACACAACTCAATTCTGCCATTCAAACACAACATCACAGTGTATCTTTATGCTTTTGTTATACTTATTTTAGTTCAGAACCTGAAGATTCACACAGCAGTCGAAATAAGCTCTGAAAGAATTTCGTAATATTGAATTGTATTTAAACCACAAATATTCAACTTTTTGAAGAAAAAAGGGAAATTTTAAATAGATTCAAATTTCATATTAATTTTTCAAGGTAAACTTAATAAATCAACAATAATAAAAAAAATTTTTAAATTGCATGTTATAAATTTCATTGAATTTCCTCTTAACTCTCTTTGTTTCTCCCTTCTTGTAGAATGTCACAGGATTTCTCGTGACATAATCGTATAATTTATTGTACACAAATTTCACCACAAAGTTCAGAAAATGCGCAACCAAGAAATCCTATTTTTACTCAATACATGCAAACTTAATTTTTTTCTTTTTAATTAACATAAATAGGTTTGATAAGTACACGATTTTTATATGCACTTCCGGCAACCATTGTATTCTATAAAAGAAATAAATTAAATTGCATTATTATAAATATTTTATCATAATTTAATATGTAAATATCTAGGTGGCTATAACATTAATGGAAGGAAAAATAATAAATGCACTTAAAATGTTGCTTTCCATTAAGGTATAAAAAATCAGTTTAACAATATTCTTTTAAAAGTTTTGAAAATAATTAATAATAAACTTGAATTTTTTTTTAAAGGTCTTGACTTCATACGAATACATTGTAAGGTGGTGTTTTTCATAAAAATTACATTCGTTTTCAATTATTTTTAATTTTAAAATTAAATTTAAGTATAATATCTAAGAGTTATCTAAAAATATTCCGGAATTTTATAGAAAATCATCTATGCCCCCTATTAATAATTTGAAAAAAATTTTTTTATTCCCTATATTTACAGACAATTTGAAATTCAAATTGAAAAATTTCTTTCCTATTGCAATTTCGTATTTTATAAATTATATTAGGAGGTTATAAAACTACTGACTCTGAAAATATACTTTTAAATTCTTAAATATTTTAAATTTGGGAAATTTTAAGACACAACGACACAACGTTAACATATTCAAACTGCAGGATTCTTATTAAAATATTTCACAAAATTTAAAGAACTATTACACACATGAATATGTAGCCTTTAAAAATTATGCAATCTACTTATAAGAACAAAATTTCAAAAATTTTATATTTATGTTCTGCATTAATCCATTTTACTTGTATATATTTTAAAAGTTTTCTTTAACAACTCATTACGAAACTTTGTAATTTTTTCTTTTTTTTTATATTATTAAGAAAATTTCAATACTGCACTATACCATAAACATACATGGTGCACATACATACAAATGTATTGTAGTAAGTATGTACGTCCCATAAAATAAAAATTTTTGAAAAATTTTCAAGTAGAACTTTAAATCCGCATTCATTATTGAAATTCTCATATAAATAAATTTAAAACAAAATTTTTTTCTAAAAATTGCAAAAAAAAAATTCCTTACTTTTTTTTAAAACCCATTTTGCCACTATATTTTTCAAAGTATACATGACATTTACAAAAAAACAAAAGTAAAAATAAAAACTTAAAGTCCTTCTATTTAATTTGGACTAAACTAAGTTCTATGTTAAATAATTTCCATTAAATTTTGTATACAACTTTAAAAAAATAATATAAATTTTCTCTATAGGAATTTTTTCCTTATATATTTTTCTAAAAACCAATTAAATAGGAAAAAAACAACATGTATTTAAAATTGAAAACACGGAAATAACATGAACATTTTAAGTGACCATAAACATGAAAAACTCGTGTTCTTTATATCCAAAACTTCAATTTAACATTATATATACATGTGCCAGGTACTGTGAACCTTATTTTATTATAAAGTGCCGAGCATATTAAAAGTTAAGCCCCATAGTTTATGCAATTTTTTTATAATATAAAATAATTGCTTGATTTTAGGTTCCTTGAATGGGCATTATTTAAACAATACAATATGTGAAAGAAAACAAAACACTTGACATAATGGAATTAATAATTTAGAGAGAAAAACAAAACTACAACAAAGGATCGTAAAATCAAAATATTACAGTTATTGAATTCCCCATGAGTAAATCGATGACTCCCAAAAATTAATTCAATCGAAACAGTCTGAAGTAGTCCGTTCAATCAAAATGTATAAAATTTGATTATAAAATAAATGAACAAGTCAATTTTTCGAGAATATCAGAGCTCGGAAAGAGAACCTTGGCTAAAGGACGATTTTACATATTTTTTTATCATATCCGAATTTCTTGAGATTTACGTTATGTGCATTTGCCGCAACACTTTATTAATTTGGTCGGTTGTGCACTGCTCACGTCAGATCTTTTTCAAAATTATTTTCATTCAATACAATTTTTCAAAATTTTGTTCAAAACTTCCTTAATTATTCTTATAGTTTTTTGGAAATTTTTCTTTTCTTTTCTTTTATTTTCTCCCCTTCGGAAATTTATTTTTCAATTTCAAATTCACCGTAAATATAGATTTACCTTAGATAAATTTTATTTTAGGCTCCCCTCTTTTTACATACATATTCATAGAATATATTTGAATTGGGTATAAATTTTATTGAACAAAAAATAATTTTATCCAAACATAAGAAAAAAACAAAAAATATTTCTTATTCTGATCCTACAATTTAAGCTGGAAATGAAAATAAATAAATTTTCCTTGCGAAATATAGGAAAATTGTAAAATCAAAGAAACAGTATGAATGTATGCACATTGAGTTTATAATGTTCGAAATTTTATTGTAGTCTTAAATGCGAAGTTATTTAATGTTTTTGTATTTAAATGAAGACTTTGTTGTGAAACAAACTACAACATTTTTATTTAGGAGATTTCAATTAATATTAATTTTTTTAATTTTCAAATTTTTAAATTTTGAAGTTTTAGCGCGGAATTTATTGTATTATACTTGGACGAACTTCATCGAACATGTTCGATTGATGTTGTAAACCAAAATATTGTTGTAACGACAACATTTTACATGCACATTTGCTGAAATCTTTAAAATTCTTACTATATAAATTTAATTCATTAAAATACTAAAATATCTTATAGTTGTCATTACATTAAAATCCTTTTTTTACAAATATTATTTAAAATTTGTAAAAAATTTCTTACATTTTAGGTCAAAGTTATAAATTACTTTAGTTATATAATTTTACATTATATGATTATTTAAATATTGCATGAATATTTATTTTTGCATAACATTACATAACCAATTGCCCAATTTTTAACCAAATTATGGTATTTTATTTCTTACATATACATAAAACGAGTAATAGAATTTATAGCAACTCTACGATTTAAAATATCATACAGGGTATTTAATTTATCCTTGGCATAAACAATAAACGAACGATATAGAATACCTAAAATTTTTCAACTAAATCCAATTTTTTATAGGTTTTGTAGTTAACTGATCGTAATTAGAATAAACTATATTATTGTCGAATAGAAGTATTTGTATTAATATAGAAGTGTGCACAGTATAAACTTAATCAATTGAATTATGAAGCTCTAATCTTAATTTGGGACCTAGTTCTAATCTAAATTTTAATCTGTTGTTTAACCCAATTGTTTAGAAATATTCCCAACTTTGTGCCACAATATGTATCACATATATTTTAGTCAACTGTTGGCAAAAATTATAGTAAAATGAATTCGATCGAAATATACAAATTAAGTTTCCTTGTGTTGAGCACTCCTTGTCTAGTCGTAAACACTGTTAGGAAGAGAAAAAAATTCTTATTTTCTAAATGATAAACTTTTTCGGAAATTCTTCTACATTATTCCTTTAAATTTATTTTTTTGGTTTTCTTTAATGATTTTTATTTCCTTTTCAAATATTCCAAATTCATTGAATTCAAACCTAAATAATAAAATCCATTACCCTCTTCAACATTGTAGGAAAAGAAAAAATTAAATTTTTCAAATGCATTTAACGATTTTACTGTATCTTTATAATTTATCTATACAAAGATATTGAAAAAGGCTATTAATGGAGTCATGCCAAAAAAAAAATTTTTTTTTTGTTTCACCTGAACGGAAAAAGAATTTCAACTATTAAAATATTTTAAGTGTGAACGGAAAATGGTTTTACCTTTTATTTGAATTTTATAATATTTTAAATTTTAGCACGAAATTTCTGCCAAGACAATTTTTAAAAAAAATTTTGTACTTGCGGAATATTTTGCAATTTCCTCAAATAACTTGCTAATTTCGTGAAACTCCACACATTTGTGAAATGCAAATCGACACTGTTGCACATCTTATTTGAAAATTACTTCAATTAGACTATATCAACTTGATGTTCGATTATTACAAATCTTTTGATCTATAATCATATTTATAAAGCCAAGCTTACATTTTACATACCTTCAACATCTTCGGCATCCAATAATTCATCAAGCTCTGTATCATCAAATCTATGACCAAGTGTATTTAATATCGTTCGAACTTTTTCTTTTTCGATTCTACCACATTTCTTTGAATCAAACATTTGAAATGCTTTACGAAGAACTGAAATTTAAAATAAAATTTTCGTTTTTATTATACTTTTAGGAATTTATTTTAACCATGCATAAATTGAATTCACAGAGGAATACATTTGTTTAAAAGAGTTTTCATGTCACCTGATTCTTGATCTTCAGCCTGAAAATAAATTTAAACAAAAAAAAATTGAAAAAAAATTAAAATAATGCATTACTGAAGATTAAAAATAAGACACACACATACACACATTCAATGAAATTTGAAAAAAAATTTATATCTAAAAACTTTATTCGCTTTGATGGAATCATCGAGGGACTTTTGAAATTATATTTAATTTTTTTTCTTCCTCTCTCTCCCTCTCTTACTATTTTGTAACAATATTAAATTTAACTTAATAATACTTTCAGCATTCATTCGGAATACTGTAAATACAGTCATGTAATTTACTTTCAATTTATATAAAATAATTTTAATCCTTTAAATTGTACTATTGAATTGTGCTATCATCGTCTATATAAGAAATCCGTGGATTAAAGTCAGAAAGCAATAACGATACTTGGCCGAATGCAATCAGAAAAATCGCTATAACAGGTATGTATTTTAGGCGAATGAATATTTATTGGCGCCAAACGAAACTATTGATATTTTTTCGCTCATCTTTTGCAGAATTTGGAATATAACTTTTATATTTAATACACGAAATCAATAGTGCGAAGGTTCTAAAACAGGCTCCGAACCTGGATATCATATTCATTTTCGTTGATTAACATCTATTAAATTTATTTTTGAATTTATTCAGTCCTTAAGGCCATTTTGTTTTTCAAAGCAATTTAATTCTGAAACACAAGTTTGGCATAAGATAAGTTTATTGAAAATTTCACTTAAATGGAAAATTCAATATTTATAAGGCGACACCTAAAATTATTTTCATAATTCAACTAACCTATTTTTGCTTAGATTTAAATTCACATTGTCGAGACTGTATTATTTTCACAAACTAAAAGTTTTCCTAACCACAATAAGTCAGAAAAACAAAAAAAATAAAAATTATGCATTCTCTAAACCAAAAACAAGAAACTTTAAATTTTAACAACTTTTGACATTTTGCAACAAAACTTTTTTCTTGTACTCACCACATTTTCTCCTTTCCACAAAGCTTAAAGTATTTTTTTTTTAACTTATTATTTAAAATTTCATACTCAAATAAAAAGTGAAATTAATTAGCTTAATTCTTTATCCACTGTGAGATTATAAAAATAACATTTGACATATTAAAAAAAAACGGCAGAGAACTACAAAACGTTGGAATTAAAAAAGTAGAAAAATTTTCCGCATCTCTGTGTTTCTGTGTTCTTGAAAAAAATAAAAAATTATAATTTTTCCACTTTATGCTGTTCTTTTAGGAAAACCTTTAATGTTTTTTTATAACTTTGACCGGAGAAAAAAAAAATATCATATAACAATCAGAAAGAATCAGAGATTAAGATAAAAGAAAAGAAAATATACGCACATTAATAAGTCTTGAGAATGGTCATAAACGTTGGTTTCTTCAACCATATTAACTATGGTTGCTCCTTAAAATGAAAGAGACAAATGAAAAAGGGAATGCGAAAAGGAAAGAGAAAAAATCAGCTATTAAATTTAATTTTAATGAAAACTGCTGTGAAATTTTTACATTTTTTTTATTTTTGAAGAAATAAAAAAGTAAAATGGAATCTAGAAAGAATTGAAGAAGTTAAACAAAATGGAATGAAAATAATACCAAATTGTTTTATACTTCAAAGGGTTATAGGAAAGTTTAATACGCTCAAACGAATGCATATTCGATTTATGAAATTATTTTTCTATTGGTAACGCTGAGGATAAATCGTCTGAGATACTGAATTTAGAGATAATAAATATACTATGTTTAACCTTACTCATCATCGAATTCTGAGTTGATTTCGCAATGTAAGTTTGGTGAGCAGACCATCACAGCGGGTACTCAAAAACCAAATGAGGGAAATTCACCAAATTTTCACACATAATAATAGTAATAATTATCTAACCATTTTAATTTCGATGCAATCGAAGCCATGCTTCGATCTATTGCCATATACGTATGCAATTAAAGCTTCCATATGGTCAGCATTAGAAGCCAGTAAGCAACATAAATTATGTTAAGCTTTTTTGTTGTATTATGTTAGTTTCTTAACAACTCTGAAATCCGTTTTATTAGTCATTTCAAAACCTATTCAAGCTACTATACCAAAATTCCACATATAAACAAGTTTTCTCATATAAGAAACAAAATTCCTATCGATTGAAACGCGTGACTCTTATTATTTTGCCATTATTGTCAATAAAAACTTAAGATATTAATTTTCAAACAGAATTTTACGTGTAGAGATTGGAAACAAAAGAAAATGCCACCAATATCTCATATTTCCAATTAAATAATTTTTTGTTTTAAAAAATTTGCTAGGTTCACAAGGAGCTAGTCATTCGATTTACTGCAAATATCACTATCAGATTTTTTCATTTTATAAAAAATAATATGATCGTATAAATTGTTGCAATTCAATATTTTGAATTCGAAAAATAATGAATTTCTTTCGAATTAATTAATTTAATATTCGAACTCTAAAGAACTTGTTTTGGTTTTCAAGTTCTGAAAAATTTCAAAACCCCTACTTCATAACCCCTAACTTTCTGAAATAAAATCTTCCTACACCATGCTGCATTCACACGCCAACTACAAGGCAATCAAAGAAACTTAAATGCATTAAATAATATCGGTTATTTTTTTTTATTAATCAAATATGAAAAATATTTAAGATATTTTAATAAAATTATTAATTCAAAATATTGATTTTTTTCCTCTTTGTATAAATTAAAATTTTTTATTTTAATAAAAAGATTTGCAAACTTTTCATATACCCAATAGTTAGTTATATACACATACATACATACGTATATGCAATATTAAAACGATATTTCTATTATCCTTTGAAAGCAAAAAATTAAAATATTTTTAAGATGCAGGAATAAAAAAAAATCAATTCCTCTCTTTTATCATATTATAAAATTTAATAAGGAAATTTTTATTTTCTTTCGTTAAAATTTTATAAGCATAAACATAGAGTCTGTTTGCCTTAGATTATGGAATTTAATAAAGTTGTGTTTCTTGTTAAAATTTATATGCAATATATTATAACTATAGTGTAGCTATGTTCGCAAAATATTGGCATTATTTATTAAATTATTTAATTAAATAAAACATATGCATAAATATTAAACTCAATTTTCTTTAATATAGTTTAAAATTTAAAATATTATATTACGCAAGAAAATTATTTCATGTTTAATAAACAGGATGTCTGGGAATATTACGACTTGTTTGAGACTAATTGCGGAACCACTTTCCGAACGAAAATCAAACGAAACCAATCAATTTACGTACTTTATTTGAATTGATTATCCCAAAAATTTACACCATTATTGAACTTTCGAAATGAGTGATCTCTTGTTCTTTAAACTTTTTTATCTAATGTTAGGTTAATTGTAGAAATGGGAGTTAAAGTTTTGATGCACAATGGGATTTTAGTATTTTACGTGAAATTTTACAAAAAATACCACTATTTCCATAACATCCAACTACCTGCACAACCCAACTATTCAACTATACTGTATTTTTATGGTACGAGTATCAGCGAAAGGCAAAAGTTTTTAATTCTAAATACTCAAATCTATTAAAAAAAAAAAACATTTTAATTAATATAAACATTTCTAAAAATATTTTTATAACGGTAAATTTACTTTTCATTTTTAACCTTAACCACTATTTTAAAATTTTAAATGTTAAAACAATAATTTTTATGACTAATATTCTTCGTGAGTTACTTATGATGCCAAATACGAATTCCATTCTAAAACAAATCTTTTCTTTCTTATTCCTTCCTCATTCTTTTAACATTAATTTTTGACAATAAAATTCCCATGAAAACCTTTTTTCATTATTTTAACATTTTAATTTATAACAATAATTGAGATTCCTCGGCACACAAAGACAAAAAGAGAAAAAAATAAACAAAGTGATTGCCATATTATAAAATAAATCTTCGAATATTATGTGTCAAAACTAATTAAGACCTTTCATTTTATACATAATAAACTAAAATGTATAACAATGTTATAAACATTTAAATGAAATCCTTGAAAATTCCTTGAATTTCATTTAAAAAAAACAACCTATTTTTTACCTCTTTTCATTTTCTTCTTCAGATTTTATAACATATTTTTTGTTCTCCATTATTGTCTCTCTCTAATAATACAATAAAAATCAAAATGAGAAATATAAAAAAAAAGTAAAAAAAAAAATTTTTCTACACGATAAGTTTTCATTTTGTTATCTTCAAGGAATCTGTCAACTTCCTTCCTGACATCAAAAACAACTTAACTGTATATCACTTACATTTTCTCTTCTCTCTCTCTCTCTCTCTCCCTCTCTTATCGTACCTTTTTGAAGAATAAAATCAACAATATTCCCTTGATATGCAATGTGTGCTCAAACTGTTGTTTTTCTCTCTTTCCCTGTCTTTCTCTTCCTCTCTATATACCTACACATTAAAATTGTTATATTATAAAATAACCGTTTTAATTTTCTGATATCCACCATTTTTTTTTCTAATATTTATTTTTTTATTTTTATTGTTTTTCTTTTAATATTATACTTGTATATATTTGTTTTTTGTTTACATTTTGTTTTTATTTTTTCATTATTATTTTATAAAAATAATCACATCTCATCCTTTTATAATTTCATTATGAGCAAACATTGAATATTGTTTATATAAAAGAGAAAAAATGTCTCTTCTAGGATAATTTCTAATAACGGTTCTTTAATATTCAGCAATGTGATATATACATAAATATACACACGTATATAGTTCTGTATAAAATGTTATTTTTGTTGGTAAATAAATAAGCTTGATAGTTCCTATTAAATTATATTAAATAATTTAACCTGAAAGTAGAATGAAAATGGCAGATTAAAAAAAAGCCTGTAAAATATAAGTGTTGACACGACCAGTTTTAAGACAACTGAGTCAAAAATGGGGTATACTATAGTTATGGTTATTATGTTCAAGTCTCTAATCTTCTAGAGGTCCGAGGCTACTGCTGTGCAATATTGTCTTATTGCTATCGAAACAATAAAATAGAAATATCTTAAGCTTAATCATTCATTTGGATTACACCTTATCTGGGACTATAAATTTCTTATATCTTATTCTTAATTTCCTTGCAGCTATTTTGGTTTTTAAAACTTTTGGATAATATTATTTTTTACAAAATTTCATCACTCTATATTTTCAACATTAAATAGATGTGGGATAAAGCTGGTCTTAAAAGTTATATAATGTTGTAAAATCATCAGATTGTAAAAAAAAAAATTGATTTAAACCAATATATCATTGTAAAAATCGAAAGACAAATAGATATAACCAAATCAAGTGGGAATATTCAACTAAAAATTCACAGAATCAAGAAAATTGTAACAAACAGAGTGCCAAATATTCTATACATTGCTATAAAAATATGGCAGATATAGTTTTCTAAAAAAGAAAACTAAAAGCAAACAAATCAAAAAAATACATGACAATACAATAAAAATTAAAAGAAAAATTTCATAATATACTTTTAATGTCCTTGTTAAATCCTTCTTGATTTTAAAATTTTATGAAATTTGATGAAAAGCAAAACACTTAAATGCTCTTAGGCGATAATATACGAGTACGCTCATTCCAAAATTAAATTAAATAAAGATTTTCTTTAATGTTTCTAAGCAAATAGTTGCATAACCTAGAAAATTTTAAATTTGCCAATAGAATTTATTTAATAGTATTAAAAGGAATTTATTCAAAATTTGGGACGCAAATAAAATATTTGTATTTACTTATGCAAAATACAAATTTGCTGATAAAATATTTGTCTTTTTTTGTTCTTGAATTTATGTGAGAACTGTTACTTGGAAATGAATTATACAGCGACTTTAAACTAACAATAACAATTTACTAAAATTTAAATAACTAGGAGAGCTAAGTGGAATAATAGAATGGCCATTTATTATGATTAAATTGCAAATTGATTAATTTACAAAATCAAAAATGCTGTATTAAAAGAAAAATATTTTTCATAATTCGATATATAACTCAATTTCGATTGACAATCTTTGGAGACTTTCAAATTATGAAAGTCTCTTTCTGGTACGCTGATCTTAACTTTGTCAGTACAAGAACATAAAACTCATATTGCATTGCACACGTGTCTACGAATGAAATTTATATTTACCGATCTCCGAAATTCATTATTTTATATTTACCGATTATATTTCTCAAAACCGATTTTGAACAATTAGTCCCTAAATAAAACTTGTAGCGCAGATTTCTCAAAAGAACCAAGAAATTATCTAATCGGTGGCATTAAAATCACAAATTTTTTCAAAGCTATAATTGGTAAATATTTTGACACATATAATACATATCGATTACCCCTTTAAAATTATATGAATATTATTTCTATTCACAATGGAAAATCACTCATAATTTCACTATTTCATTTTCAAATCCTAAATTCCCAAATGATTAGAACTAACATATATAAACATACAATTATAATATTTATTTTATTTTTAATTACACACATTTATACTGCCAAGGGAGTCGTAAAAATGGAATATAAACGAAAATAGACAAGAAAAGATGATAAAAGGAAATACAAATACTAGCATATATAGCTTTTGTATTAAAATGTCAAATCACTAAATAAAATAAGTTTAATATGGCCGACACATAACCGATGGAGTATTGTATATTTTTTGTATAAAATTTAACAACTTCCAATTCTTATTGGTTTAGCGAAAGCATTGCTCCTTGTTAAAAATCCTCTATAGCAAATTGGTTAGTTTCATTGCAAAACAGAGCCGGAATAATACACAGAATTTCGAAATAATACATAAGTCTGAAATTGGCTCTAGACAAAAGTCTAGTTTCCGAGCATTATTCACTGCTTTAAGATACTGGGAAAAAATATATATTTTATGTTTCTCCATTATAGAAAAATACATTTGCGTTGAAAACCCAGCAGACATGGAAAATTTTGATATGATAATAATACCTCTCATATTGTTTGCAATTCGGTTATTAAGAGGAAAAGATAAGTTTATAGCAAATTTTCAATTCTTTTATTATTTTCTATCCTTTCAAAGAAGTTATTTAAATAACGTTAAAAGTTACACAATACTTACAATATTATAATATCGTCACATTCACATATTCACTAAAACAATATAAGTGTGTTATAAAGAGAATGTGTTTCTAACGTGTTAAACTTTTAATATTATATTAAATATCACAATGTACAATTTTCATAAGTTATTTCTAGATAAAAATCCTTTAATGTTATTATATACAAATAGAATATATTATTTAAATTATATTATTTCTCATATTATTAAATTATAAATGTATGTATAGATATTATAGAAGAGAAGAAAAATCCTTGTAGATGATGATATTATACTACTATACATTAAACGATATAATTAATTGAAAATATGGAAATATTTCCGGCGTATTAAGCTTTAAGGTTATATACATACAAACATTTACACTTAGTTTACTCTGCATTTAAAATATTTATGTACAATGTATATTGTAGAAATTTATAAAAGGACTTTTAATATTATTGTCAATTTATTTGAATGTTAATTTGAAAATTTTTGTATAAAATTTATATTATATTTTTATTGTGTATAAGGATTGGAATTTTTTGTATTTTATTTGACCACAAACTATTGAAATATATTAATAAATATCTTATAACTACAAGAAGATTTTAGGCTATAAAAAAAATTATGTGTTCATCTGCACGTTTAACACTTAAAATAGAAAATATTTTAACATATAAATTTCTAGAGATTAATGAAAAATTTTGAAATATACAGAAATTTTTTGAAAAGGTATTGGAGATCGTATATAATTTTTTTAGTGATAATTCCATTTTTGTTCAATTTCAGTTAATAATGGAAATAGATCGTAGACTATTAAATCTTTAAAAATCCGTTAAAAAGCGAAAGATCTTGTTTGAAATCTGTCCATAAGTAAAAGAAACTGGAAAAAGTGGTTAATAAAATTATTACAAATTATTTTTCATAATGTTCAAATCTATATATAGATACTCAGAAATTACTGTTTTGGGAAATTTAGCGTTTGTTTTGGAAATCAGTTTCGGATGTCTTGTTTTAAAATAAAAAAATTCTGTTGCAGCCAACATAGGGTTAGTTTAAATAATTTTGAAAATTTTAAGTTGAACAAAAATGAAGAAAATTAGACCAAATTTTTAACATTTGATATAAGGATCAGTGCTTTGGCATTCCTATATATTTTATCCAAAATCACAAATTTTTGGTTTGGATTAGTGCTTTTGGATAGTTTTTAAAAATCCCAAAAAAAATTTGGCATACCCTTAAATTATGTTAGAAAATTCTTATTAAATAATTTTAGAACAACTCCAACTCTCTATGATTTAGTAAAAACACACTTTTATACTAAAATTCTTATTTTAAATATTTTAATAAATTGTTAATTTTTGAAAAAAGAATCAAACATTTTCTTTCGATATTTAAATTTACTAAACTAACCATTTAAATCCTTTTATTCCTCTCAAAATTTATCGAAAATTTATTTCAAGTCGAAAAAAAAAAATCACTTTTCGCTTTTTCAATTACCGTTTTAACTGATATTATATAATTTTTTACTATTGTACAGTTACTTTATCAATTCACAATAAGTACATACAATTTGAAACAATCACTTATGACATCTACCGTAACTCTAATATAATTCAAACCGTTCCGGAATTGATCACGAAATAAATGATGCGATTTATTTAAAAGTTTAGAATAGAATGCTTCTAATTACTTTCAAACATTTAAATTTTAGTACTTACCGTAAAATTATAAAAATAAAAAAACAAACAGTAAAAATAAAAAAAAATTACATTTTGAAAAAAATTTTAAGAAGAAAAACTTTATAGAAAAATAATTTAGAAAGTGGGGAAAAACAAAAAGTTCATTCTATAAATTTTGGCTATCAGGCGAACTTTTACTTAATTTGCTTATTTAAATATTTTCACAATATAAAGGATTTGAACGTGCTTTTACAAAAATTTTCAAAATCAATTCTAATTTTCAAAATCAGCTTTAAAATTAAGGCAGAAATAATTTTGTGCAAAATTTAAAATTGAAAAACAATTAAAACTATAGACAGTTCTAAAACCTTTTTTATGAACTTGAATCATCAGACTATTTACACTTACTTTAAACCTTATCTATTTCATTTAAATAAATTTTTCAGAGTAGTTTTGTACTTGATACCTTTCCGCATTTCAATTTAAAATATCACAACTGCCGCGAACACTATGATTAATTTTGTCTCGATTTTGCCTTTACTATTAAATTATATTTAGCTGGTTTGGAACTTTGGTATCCACTAATACTTTTTTCTTCACTCCACTCCTAGCATTAGAGTTAAGCATTAGTGTTTTACAAGTCATTGAGTTAACTAGGTTGCCAGCCTCTCTTTGTTTTTTCTTTTTAATAATTTTTTTTTGTAACAATTACTTTTACATTAACATTTTATTTTATAATATTGTACATTAAGCGATGTATATAATATTAAGTATAATTATTATTATAGTAACCTGACAGGATTTGAATCTATTCAAAAATATCTGTAAAAATTAAGGAAATTTTCGACCTACGTTTTCAATTTGTATGGGAGGCAAAACTACATGAAATCAAAATTATTTTCATACTTGAAATATTTCACAAAATTATATAACAAAATCAATTCGGCCACATATTTCAATTTACATACATACATTAACTTTTTTTAAATCATACTCAAAATTATTATACATTGTACTAAGGTATAAGAGAATTTCAAACTTGAAAAATTTTAAATCTACTTCAATAATATTTTTGAAAAATCACAATTCCACTTACGATAATAAAAAAAAACCAAAAGTGTATATTAACATTTTATCCATTTCCAAAAATTATATATATTGTAATAATGAAAATGTAAATTATTATAAAATATTTCGTGCAAGAGAAGAACAAAAACAACAACACAGCAATGAAAATAATAACAATAATAATTGAACATGATAATAATCATTGCAAAAATTGTGTAATTACAATACTTATGATCATCACCATAATGATATAATAGCAAATGTTTATAATAATAATGATGATGATGATGATAATAATGAAATATTCAAGATATGCAGTAGTTTATTAAAAACGTAAGCATATAACAAATAAAAAAAAAAAATTAAAAGAATTTTTTTTTTGTGAAAATCAAAATGAAAAACTTGATTTTTTTTTTTATAAACTTTTTCAATTACAACGCAAGAAGTATCTTTTAAGTGTTAAGAGAGGAAAAGAGAGAGAAAAATAGACAGAGAGGTGAGAATGAATAAAAAATAAACTTTCCAGTAGATTTCTATATGGTGATTATTGGGTGAAAATGAAAAGCGATTTTCATACTTTTAATGATTTGTTTTTTTTTTTTTTTGTTTTTTTTTTTAATATAAAAAATATTCATGTTTTGTTGTTCTTTCTTTGTTTTGTACACTCTTGATCTTAATGCTCATTTTTCCTCTCCTCTTTTTTTCTATTTTGTTTTCATATTTTTGTTTTTTTTGTGAGAAGTGTTCTGTTTGTTATTTACTTAACATTTGACGTTTGTAATGAATGAGTAATAGTGAAAAAAATAAAAAAAAAAAAAATAGAGGTGCAGTAAAAGTGTGGGTAAAATTTTGCAGTAGTTTGTTCTTGTTTTTGTATATTTATTCATCACAGTATTTTTTTTTCTCTCTACACTTAGAGAAAGCAAAATAATTATGACAAAAAAAAAAAACAAAAATAATAATAGTAAAACAAAAAAAAAATAATGAGGAAGCAATTAGAAAAGGTGAACAAAAGGTGAAATTAATGGAAATTTTTTTAATTGTATGAAAAATTGAAAATCTCATTCTTAAAAAATATGAAGAGTTTCGGCTTTTTTTCATTTCTGGATTTATTTCGTCTTAAACTATTTAATTAAAAATTTTGACATTTTTATCATATACTTGTACAATTAACCTTCAAATTATGAAGTTAACATTGTTACATTATGTCGGCTTTATTAATTTCTCCAAAAGTGGGAACATATTTAATTCAGTTTAAATTTTTTTACAGAATTCAATTAATAATCTTCCTTTGTACAGTAGAATTATAGTATTCATTAATAACAATGAATACAATTAATTTCAACTTAAATATTAAATATTATTTGCTCCTGTTTGGATAATTTTTGCATATAATTGTGTAGATTAATCTTTACTATTATAACTTTCTTAAAATATAATTAATTTACAAATTCAATTTTAGAGTTCTATATATAAAATTTCTGTATAGTATAAAATTAATGAGTTAATTAAAAACCACACAAAATCTCGATTATCTTGAACTCGCTTTATTGAGTTTCATTTAAATTGAAAATGACAAATTACAAATATATTTAATATGCTAAATGGCAAAATCAATTAGACACAAAAATATATTTGTAACAAAACTTTTCCATATTCAAGAACTATTAAGGAACGGATCTAGGACAAACCAAATAAAAAGTTTTTCTTTTTCTTTTCATTCATGAAGATGATCATAAAATTTCATTCTTCCTTCCTTTCATTGATTATTTTTGTAATTTTATTACATTTCTTTGAAATGCGAATAAAGTAAATGAAATCGTCATTTTCCTTTAACCAAAAAAAAAAAACTACCAGAAAGTTCATAATTCAATTTTGCCATTATTTTTCTTTAATTTTCTTATTTTTTTTTTTATTTTTTTTTCTATTTTCCCTTGAATTAACTCAACTTAGTTTTTTTTCTCTCATTTCTTCTTATTCAGTTCCACGTATAATATTGTAACTAAAAATGAAGGCATTATTCCAATTTTGTATATTTTTATTTCTTGCAAAGTATAAGAAAAGCAATTTTAAATTTCAGTCTTAATTTTATCGAAAAATCCAATATTAAATAAATTTCGAAAAAAATTAGTGGTGGTAAAAAATTACTTTTGACACGCAGTTTTTTAGTATCAGGCACATATTCTTAATACTTTTGTATGTAATTTTAATATCACATTTAATACATAAATATTAGCATTAGCAATTGATTAGACTGAGTCATTTTGTTTAACAATTCACATTTTGATTCACATTTTGATTAACAAAATTTTTTTTGACTATAGTGTAATTTTCATGAATTCTAAATTCCTATCCTATAAATTTTTTTACATATTTAGTCTCTAATATGTTAATCAAAATAATTACTTTGTATTCTAAACGTTAAGGAAGAATTTTGTTAAACGAAATTCAAAACGTGAAAAATTCCCTTTAATTTATAATAAATGCGGAAAATTTCATTTACCATAATGGTCAGTTAATAAAAGAGAAACTAAATATCTGTTTTAGATTGTATTCATAAATGAATAAAAAAAAATGAATTATTGGAGAGGCTATTTTTGGAATGATATAAAAACAAACATGTAAGACACTCAAACACGAACACAATGTGGAAATCCCAGGATTGAATTTTTCTAAGTTTAACATGCAATAATTACAAGGACTATACCAGAAAATGTACACAAATACATAGAAGAAAATTGTGTATGTGTGTGTAATTTAAAACAATCTCCTATTAGGTACGTCCAAATAAAATAGTTATTTAGCATTTATTTAAGATTTTTTTTTCACATATTTATAAAATTAATTATAAATTTATGGCAAGAAGCGTTAACAGTTCTAAAATCTACAAAATTAAATAATTATAAAGACAAATGTATTTCTATCAACAAATATGTCAATCCTACCTTAACTAATTTTAATCAATATTGTCTAATTCGATCATTTTGTTTTTACATCTTATAATTTTGCTCTTGTCCTACAGTTATGCAATAGAAAAAAATGTTAAATATTTGGCGAAAATTTAATATAGCTTTTTCTTCAAAAATCATAATATTTGCTTCGAATTTATAATAAGAATAGCCATATTCTTATTACAATCTTATGGCTTCTTAAAAATTCATTAAGAACTCTAATGGAAACAATATCTTTAACAAGAACAACACTTCGAAATATTAATTTTTTATATAAAACATATATTACAAACATACATACATAAATTTACACTATGAAGATTATATCTGCCTTAATGTTTACATTTGTTATTCCGTCATAAAATATATTAAGAAAACAAAATGTAAGCAAAATTGAAAGAACTTCGAGGGTTCCCTTAAAGCCATATTTTCTGTATATTTAAAACCTTAATAATATAATATTGTATATGAAAAAAGGGAAATACCCAACACAAAATGTTTTTTTTCTCATACCTTTTTTCTTTATTAGAGTTCTTTTAAAATAAACTTATATTGGACTCAAAAAGTCCTATATGACATGAATAAATTAAGAATTTTTTTCTTAAAATTTATAATTTTTGAGTAATTTTTTACTTTAGTACAAAGAATTTAACAAAATACTTATCAAACAATTATTTAAGCTATCACATTAGCTCTGCCATCTCATTTCATACAAAGAGGCTTAGTGTCCATTACTATTTTAAAAATTAAATTTTTCCCTTTGACTAAGAAGCATAATTTAAACAAAATTTTCAAATTTACATACCCAACATAATTTTCAAGAACTGAAAGGAAATTACTAAACAAAAAACATCAAGTCTCAACTGGTATTTGTGGAATTTTCTTCTGGTTTTTTTAATGCGGAAAATTTTCCAACAGAAAAAACAAAATACAATTAATTCTATACAATTGATATTAAACGGAAGTTCAGAGTAAAATTAATT